AGGAATACTTTCCTGCCCTCCCTCTCTCACCAAGTGTTAGCCACTCAAGCTAAATTCACCTACAGATTTGAGTAAGATTCCTATGCGCTGCCAACGCAAAACAGCTGTCACTTTTGGATTTTATCGATTGAGGTAGCTTAGCACGGCTAAGCTAGACACCTGGCTTTGCTTCGTTGCAGCCTGGACCAGACTTGTTTTCAAACCAACTTTAAGCAGACATAAACACTCCTGTCACTGGAAACCAATATGCCTGGAATGATCAACTAATACTTCTCTACAGTAATCCCTGCACTTCTGTAATAGCAATTAAAACCAACAAGCTTGGATCACTGAAATGAAACAATAGCATGCAAAGTGTTCACTGTGTGCCTTGCGCAGTTATTTCTTCAACTTCATGCTATTGGATTACTGTCTTAAACACTCTGGGGACAGAGATGGTGAAGAACAGCTTTCATTGGCAAAGGTAGGCAATTTCTCACACTCTGTTCCATTTTCTGTGGCCCATCCAGCAAATCATACGCTAAGCCTAAAAAAACAGCAAGGAACAAGTCCATCCAAGAGAGGCTGAGCGCAGTGGATTTCGTATGCTTTTGTTCTGGCAGTCCAGCACTGATATCAGACGTTGAAATAAGCACTTACAGCTAACAGTTGGCAAGTGCCCAGGGTGGGGAAATTGGAGCAGTAAGATGCTTGGGAGACCTAGCCATCCTATGTGAGGAGCCTCCTTCCTGGGGACTGCATCTGAACCTGCGTGCGGCTAGGAGGGATACCATCAGCTTTATTCCACTCTTAGGGCTTCAACACTTTTGGTCTCAGTGGCAGTCCAAGCAGTATGGACGGACTGCCACAGTCACCCTTTGGGTGTACCAAAAGGACATTTGTCTCTGACGTCCCTCCCTCACCACTGGAGGGCTCTGCAAGTGCATTTTTTTAGTGCTGTGGCACTTCTCTGGATGGTGGCATTTTTCTGCAATTCTTACACTCTATAATTAATGCAGTCAAGATACGCTACTAATTTCCCCACTAATGAAAAACTGTTTTGTACAGTGCTAACCACAGATATATGATCACATCCTTGAAAGGCAGCGCTCTCACTGGATCGACTTAGGGCTAAGCAGAAAGATCGCTATTTTGAAGCCTGGAAACTTGCATATACAACCAAGCAGGCAGCCAAGGAGCTGTTCCACATCCAAGCCACGACTGACCAGATGACAGCAGCTCCCGTCCTAAAGAAAAAAGAAGGTAGATCTACACTCTGACATTTGTGAGTGCCACCACAAGGAGTCTTTTGAAATCCTGATGAGCAAAGGATGGTTGGTGCACCATAGCTCTGTAGAACACCAGCCAGAAAACCAGTGTTCTGTATTCAAACTATAAAACAATCAAATAAGGCTTATGCTGAAGGACCAGAGCATACTTCTAAGGCAACAGTGAAAAGCCAATTGGTGGAATAACTACGTAAGCCCCGATATTAGAGCTCTTGCCTTAAAGTTACATTTGCTTTGCTCGTTTAAATGGCCATTCTGTTTCAAATACTGCTATTTTGCTGGATACAAGCAAAACAAAACAGAACAGAACCTGTACTTCCCAGAACCGATGACCACCCTCGGGGAAATACGAGGCCCACCCTTCGTGCTTTTTTCTCATGTGCTCTTCTGCACACAAAAAGCACAGGACAAAGGAGCGGCACATTTCTCCTACCGTGCCCACATCCACTGTAGCAATTCCTAGGGCTGCCCAAGCTCTTCAGGGGCCTCTTCAAAACCCATGGTCTAAGATGCTCACAGCTTGAGCCCTGCTCCTCAAATCCGGAACAAAACTGTCCAGCCAAACTGTCCCACCTCAAAGGATGCCCAGCTGCTTCTCCTCCTCACCTCGCACAGCTATGTGTCTCGGTCTGGCAGGCACTGAACAGAGCGTGACCCACCGCACACACGGCTGCTGCTCTGTCCTTCTGGCTAGGCCAACACTCTGCTCAGGTCATCAGTATTTCAGGTTCGATGAGCTGCAAGTGTTTCAGATGGCTCTGCCTTGCACTCTGTAACAGATCTTATGCCCAGTACTTATTCCAACTTACCTGACAAACTACAACAAGGACAGTGAGTAACTTCATTTTCCTGTGATGACCAAAAATAGCCAAGTTCAAAATTGTATTTCCAGCCACAAACATTACCTCTAGCTTCCGAAAAAAAAATTCCAACTTTGCTTTATTGTGGTTTTAAATCATGTTAAGTCCCTAAAGTGTCATCCTCCTCCACTACCCCTCCCCAGTCCAGAAGAGTTTGAAAACACCACTGGTTTTCCCAGTGAGATTTAACAGCGTTAAGCTACTGGGCTTACAATGCAGCCCACATTTCCCCTCTGACCGGTAACGGTGGTATAAGTACCATTTTTCTGCACGTGCTGCATTTCTCCATTGCCTTTTCTGAACCACAAGCTTGGCAAACAGAACTGGGCTGTAGTAGTTTTTAAAGAATGTTTAGACCAACAGGAGGTTGCAGGGCTTTTCCGTACGTGCTGCTTGTGGCGGAAGAGTCTCTGCTAGGCCTCCTACCCTCTACGGCTGTGGCTGGAGGCTCCTCCGCTATCTCCCGGATGGAGTTATCTGGCCTCGCTCCCGGAGAAGCAAATCCACCCGTTATCAGAGCGCACAGCTCCCTCTAT